AACCCAATCTCCCTACTTCATAACCCAATCTCCTTACTTCATAACCCAATCTCCTTACTTCATGACCCAATCTCCTTACTTCATAACCCAATCTCCCTACTTCAAAACCCAATCTTCCTACTTCATAACCCAATCTCCTTACTTCATAACCCAATCTCCTTACTTCATAACCCAATCTCCTTACTTCATAACCCAATCTCCTTACTTCATAACCCAATCTCCTTACTTCATAACCCAATCTCCTTACTTCATAACCCAATCTCCTTACTTCATAACCCAATCTCCTTACTTCATAACCCAATCTCCTTACTTCATAACCCAATCTCCTTACTTCATAACCCAATCTCCTTACTTCATAACCCAATCTCCTTACTTCATAACCCAATCTCCTTACTTCATAACCCAATCTCCTTACTTCATAACCCAATCTCCTTACTTCATAACCCAATCTCCTTACTTCATAACCCAATCTCCTTACTTCATAACCCAATCTCCTTACTTCATAACCCAATCTCCTTACTTCATAACCCAATCTCCTTACTTCATAACCCAATCTCCTTACTTCATAACCCAATCTCCTTACTTCATAACCCAATCTCCTTACTTCATAACCCAATCTCCTTACTTCATAACCCAATCTCCTTACTTCATAACCCAATCTCCTTACTTCATAACCCAATCTCCTTACTTCATAACCCAATCTCCTTACTTCATAACCCAATCTCCTTACTTCATAACCCAATCTCCTTACTTCATAACCCAATCTCCTTACTTCATAACCCAATCTCCTTACTTCATAACCCAATCTCCTTACTTCATAACCCAATCTCCTTACTTCATAACCCAATCTCCTTACTTCATAACCCAATCTCCTTACTTCATAACCCAATCTCCTTACTTCATAACCCAATCTCCTTACTTCATAACCCAATCTCCTTACTTCATAACCCAATCTCCTTACTTCATAACCCAATCTCCTTACTTCATAACCCAATCTCCTTACTTCATAACCCAATCTCCTTACTTCATAACCCAATCTCCTTACTTCATAACCCAATCTCCTTACTTCATAACCCAATCTCCTTACTTCATAACCCAATCTCCTTACTTCATAACCCAATCTCCTTACTTCATAACCCAATCTCCTTACTTCATAACCCAATCTCCTTACTTCATAACCCAATCTCCTTACTTCATAACCCAATCTCCTTACTTCATAACCCAATCTCCTTACTTCATAACCCAATCTCCTTACTTCATAACCCAATCTCCTTACTTCATAACCCAATCTCCTTACTTCATAACCCAATCTCCTTACTTCATAACCCAATCTCCTTACTTCATAACCCAATCTCCTTACTTCATAACCCAATCTCCTTACTTCATAACCCAATCTCCTTACTTCATAACCCAATCTCCTTACTTCATAACCCAATCTCCTTACTTCATAACCCAATCTCCTTACTTCATAACCCAATCTCCTTACTTCATAACCCAATCTCCTTACTTCATAACCCAATCTCCTTACTTCATAACCCAATCTCCTTACTTCATAACCCAATCTCCTTACTTCATAACCCAATCTCCTTACTTCATAACCCAATCTCCTTACTTCATAACCCAATCTCCTTACTTCATAACCCAATCTCCTTACTTCATAACCCAATCTCCTTACTTCATAACCCAATCTCCTTACTTCATAACCCAATCTCCTTACTTCATAACCCAATCTCCTTACTTCATAACCCAATCTCCTTACTTCATAACCCAATCTCCTTACTTCATAACCCAATCTCCTTACTTCATAACCCAATCTCCTTACTTCATAACCCAATCTCCTTACTTCATAACCCAATCTCCTTACTTCATAACCCAATCTCCTTACTTCATAACCCAATCTCCTTACTTCATAACCCAATCTCCTTACTTCATAACCCAATCTCCTTACTTCATAACCCAATCTCCTTACTTCATAACCCAATCTCCTTACTTCATAACCCAATCTCCTTACTTCATAACCCAATCTCCTTACTTCATAACCCAATCTCCTTACTTCATAACCCAATCTCCTTACTTCATAACCCAATCTCCTTACTTCATAACCCAATCTCCTTACTTCATAACCCAATCTCCTTACTTCATAACCCAATCTCCTTACTTCATAACCCAATCTCCTTACTTCATAACCCAATCTCCTTACTTCATAACCCAATCTCCTTACTTCATAACCCAATCTCCTTACTTCATAACCCAATCTCCTTACTTCATAACCCAATCTCCTTACTTCATAACCCAATCTCCTTACTTCATAACCCAATCTCCTTACTTCATAACCCAATCTCCTTACTTCATAACCCAATCTCCTTACTTCATAACCCAATCTCCTTACTTCATAACCCAATCTCCTTACTTCATAACCCAATCTCCTTACTTCATAACCCAATCTCCTTACTTCATAACCCAATCTCCTTACTTCATAACCCAATCTCCTTACTTCATAACCCAATCTCCTTACTTCATAACCCAATCTCCTTACTTCATAACCCAATCTCCTTACTTCATAACCCAATCTCCTTACTTCATAACCCAATCTCCTTACTTCATAACCCAATCTCCTTACTTCAAAACCCAATCTCCTTACTTCATAACCCAATCTCCCTACTTCATAACCCAATCTCCTTACTTCATAACCCAATCTCCTTACTTCATAACCCAATCTCCTTACTTCATAACCCAATCTCCTTACTTCATAACCCAATCTCCTTACTTCATAACCCAATCTCCTTACTTCATAACCCAATCTCCTTACTTCATAACCCAATCTCCTTACTTCATAACCCAATCTCCTTACTTCATAACCCAATCTCCTTACTTCATAACCCAATCTCCTTACTTCATAACCCAATCTCCTTACTTCATAACCCAATCTCCTTACTTCATAACCCAATCTCCTTACTTCATAACCCAATCTCCTTACTTCATAACCCAATCTCCTTACTTCATAACCCAATCTCCTTACTTCATAACCCAATCTCCTTACTTCATAACCCAATCTCCTTACTTCATAACCCAATCTCCTTACTTCATAACCCAATCTCCTTACTTCATAACCCAATCTCCTTACTTCATAACCCAATCTCCTTACTTCATAACCCAATCTCCTTACTTCATAACCCAATCTCCTTACTTCATAACCCAATCTCCTTACTTCATAACCCAATCTCCTTACTTCATAACCCAATCTCCTTACTTCATAACCCAATCTCCTTACTTCATAACCCAATCTCCTTACTTCATAACCCAATCTCCTTACTTCATAACCCAATCTCCTTACTTCATAACCCAATCTCCTTACTTCATAACCCAATCTCCTTACTTCATAACCCAATCTCCTTACTTCATAACCCAATCTCCTTACTTCATAACCCAATCTCCTTACTTCATAACCCAATCTCCTTACTTCATAACCCAATCTCCTTACTTCATAACCCAATCTCCTTACTTCATAACCCAATCTCCTTACTTCATAACCCAATCTCCTTACTTCATAACCCAATCTCCTTACTTCATAACCCAATCTCCTTACTTCATAACCCAATCTCCTTACTTCATAACCCAATCTCCTTACTTCATAACCCAATCTCCTTACTTCATAACCCAATCTCCTTACTTCATAACCCAATCTCCTTACTTCATAACCCAATCTCCTTACTTCATAACCCAATCTCCTTACTTCATAACCCAATCTCCTTACTTCATAACCCAATCTCCTTACTTCATAACCCAATCTCCTTACTTCATAACCCAATCTCCTTACTTCATAACCCAATCTCCTTACTTCATAACCCAATCTCCTTACTTCATAACCCAATCTCCTTACTTCATAACCCAATCTCCTTACTTCATAACCCAATCTCCTTACTTCATAACCCAATCTCCTTACTTCATAACCCAATCTCCTTACTTCATAACCCAATCTCCTTACTTCATAACCCAATCTCCTTACTTCATAACCCAATCTCCTTACTTCATAACCCAATCTCCTTACTTCATAACCCAATCTCCTTACTTCATAACCCAATCTCCTTACTTCATAACCCAATCTCCTTACTTCAAAACCCAATCTCCTTACTTCATAACCCAATCTCCTTACTTCATAACCCAATCTCCTTACTTCAAAACCCAATCTCCTTACTTCATAACCCGATCTCCTTACTTCATAACCCAATCTCCTTACTTCAAAACCCAATCTCCTTACTTCATAACCCAATCTCCCTACTTCATAACCCAATCTCCTTACTTCAAAACCCAAACTCCCTACTTCATAACCCAACCTCCTTACTTCATAACCCAATCTCCTTACTTCATAACCCAATCTCCTTACTTCAAAACCCAATCTCCCTACTTCATAACCCAATCTCCCTTGTTTATGGAGACTGTATTCCAATGAGGTCTGCTGTTTTCTACAGTTAACCTATATTTAGGTCTTTATATAAAGACATAAACCAATATGAGGATATGACTGACATACCTGAAGTATTTGGTCCCCGCAGTGTAATCCATCATGTCCGTACGCAACACTGTTAGGTTGGACATTGTGTATAAAGATGCCAACTGCATTTCCACCTACAATGGTGATGCCTAGGCTCACATTTGGTGAGCTCTTTTTAAGGGAGACGAAGCGTGGGGATTCGCATGACATACTGGACCGACTAGTCAAGAAAAGAAAAAATGACAAAAAATTAAATAGAAATAAAGGAGGCAATACAAAATGTTTTCTGAGGTACACTTTATTAATTTTTAATGGTATTTACAGTTCAAGCTACCCAAAAGGTTAAATTGATTAAGCAACTATAAAAAGTTATTTAATTATTATACCATGATGTAAATACATTATGATCTTAACCTTAGAGAGATCTCAGATGGATCTTGGCACCCACCATCGTAAGATCTTTATCAGTTTTATGCAATATTGATTTATTCTATTATTTATTGGATTATTGAAGTCTTGTCAACAGTGAATGAATCTTGTAAAGTTTGGTTAAAAGTCAATACACCTGGGTTTAAGATTGCCATTTCAAAGCAAACTCGAACTGTCAAAATCCAAGACGACTTCCTAGTGGCTATGTTTTATCCTATCAGTCTCAAAATGAAACATGCACAATTATGGGAAATTTCATGCTAAATTTGGGAAAGATCCATCATGTACTGCTTGAGAAACAGCGATAACAAACTTCAACTGTCGAAATCAAAGATGGCTGCCTGGGGCCATCTTGTTTTCCAATCAGTCTCAAAACATGACATGTACAACTAGTGACTATTTTTTTGCTCAGTTTTACTGCCAAATACAGGCTGTTTCCTCTACTTAAAATGTACCTTATGTTCCAAAATTAACTTAAAACTGAGAAACACATTCCAAATTTCAATACAAACAAGTACTAATTGTAATGGGGGACCATTACAGATGTAACCCAAACAGGTATAGTCACAAAGATGCATCAGAAAAGGTTCTAAATTTGATTGACATCGCACAATTTCTGAATTGCAACCAATCAGAAGTGTCTGTGTGGTTGCTATGGCAACAATACATATGCCATTGAATTCGCAGTCCCCTAATACCCGTATATACCACCAATTGTCATCAAATTCGAACAATATCTAAATTTCGACCAATCAGAGGCCTCCTTGTGGTTGCTATGATAACAAATTATATATGGTTTTCTTCGCAGTCCCCTTATGAAATGGGGAAAAACGGCAGTCATTTTGTTGAAATGTGAGTCCTATGATACACCTACATACTAAATTTGATCAAAATTGGACAATATTTAAATTTCGACCAATCAGAGGTCAGGAAATGGCAGCCATTTTGTTTAATCACAAAACAAACTTGACCTTTTTCGCCATTACATGGTGTAGGTCAAATTTAGCCCCGACCACACTCTATCAGTATATTATAACAAAAACACAGTACCATTTATATTTTAGGAGATATAGCTGTTTTAAAAAAGGATTAAAAAATCACTTTATAGGTCAAAGCGGCCATATTGAATTTTTGATGAAGTTGAAAATACTTCAATGGCATCTCCAGACCATGACCTACAACATGTTAAAATATCAAGGAAAACCCTGCTGTCATTTAGTAGAAAAGGCTGTGAAAAGATTTGTGCAGAATAATAATAATTATATCAAGAAGCCCAATGGGCCTGCATCGCTCATCTGGTATTTATCTCACATTTGCAATCTTAAAAGTGGACTAAAATACAGCCACAGGTAGAATATCAGTGTTTGATTCATAAGAACCTATTTAAAGATTTAAACATATGACGCCTGTGACCTTGAATGTCGAACATGGACATTAGGTTGAACAGAGTTTTAAGTCTTCCAACCCAGCATGCTTCTTGCAAAATATTATTACCCTGGACCTTTTGGTAATACAGAACGAATCATTTAAAGATTTAAACATATATTGACCACTGTGACCTTGAATACGGGCGAAGGTCATTCACTTGGTAGTCTTGAATATATGTCAAGGTCATTCATTTGAACAAACTTGATAGTCCTTCATCCCAGCATGCTACTGGCATTATTCTAGGCCTCTTGGTTATTCAGAAGAAGTTGTTAAAAGGTTTAAAACATATTTGACCCATGTGACCTTGAAAACGAATGGTCATTTATTTGAACAAACTTGATAGCCCTTCATATCAGCATGCTTCTGGCCAAATATCATCACCCTAGGCCTTTTGGATACTGAGAAGAAGTTTAAAGTAAAACGTTGACGACGGACAGACAACGGACGGACGACGGATGGACGACTGACGGCGGAAGATGCACCATGCAATAAGTTGTAGTCAAATCTGAGAGACCACTATAATGTTTTGTGAAGGGAAATGCAACCCAGCAGTAATAAATGTAAAGGGAAGCAATCCTGTATTGCAAAACACTCAACTTTGTGTAAAGGGAAGCAACCCTGTATTACATAACCTTCAACATTGTGTAAAGGGAAGCAACCCTGCATTACATAACCTTCAACATTGTCCAAAGGGAAGCAACCCTGTATTATATAACCTTCAACATTATGTAAAGGGAATCAATCCTGTATTATATAACCTTCAACATTGTGTAAAGGGAAGCAACCCTGCATTACATAACCTTCAACATTATGTAAGGGGAAGCAATCCTGTATTATATAACCTTCAACATTGTGTAAAGGGAAACAATCCTGTATTATATAACCTTCAACATTGTGTAAAGGGAAGCAATCTTGTATTATATAACCTTCAACCTTATGTAAAGGGAAGCAATCCTGTAATATATAACCTTCAACCTTATGTAAAGGGAAGCAATCCCGTAATATATAACCTTCAACCTTATGTAAAGGGAAGCAATCCTGTATTATATAACCTTCAACATTATGTAAAGGGAAGCAATCCTGTATTATATAACCTTCAACATTGTGTAAAGGAAAGCAACCCTGCATTACATAACCTTTAACATTATGTAAAGGGAAGCAATCCTGTATTATATAACCTTCAACATTGTGTAAAGGGAAGCGATCCTGTATTATATAGCCTTCAACATTGTGTCCCTGCATTAACTAACCTTCAACATTGTGTCCCTGCATTAAGTAACCTTCAACATAGTGTAAAGGGAAGCAATCCTGTATTATATAACCTTCAACATTGTGTCCCTGCATTAAGTAACCTTCAACATTGTCTAAAGGGAAACGACTCTGCATTACATAGCTAACAACATTGTGAATGTGCATAGATAATGAGTCACAACATAATAAATGTGTATAAAATTCACATAACTAAGTCATTTTGCCCTGCAGATCACGTGTACACATTAAACAGGAAGAAATGGACAATTGACAGACGGCTGATCTGATAAATTTGCATGAAGGTTACATGTGTAAACACCTTTATACATTGAGCTGAAATTCCTAAAACTTTGTCAAAAATTGGCACCGACACTAGCATCAAATATTTAAAGCGAGGCCTTGTAATTATTTTCCCAATCGTTGTCATTTATTTTGCCAAAGGTGTAAGTATTTTTTCCTGTCAGAATCGGTTGGTTGGTGTTAATGTTTGCAAGGTGGTTTAATCCAGTTAAATTCCAATTTAAAACTAGAACTGTAAGCTAAATGCTGACTAATACCCCCCGCTCCTATATAAACCAGAACTGTAGGCTAAAGGCTAACTAATATCCCCCGCTCCCATATAAACCAGAACTGAAAGCTAAATGCTAACTAATACCCCCCCGCTCCCATATAAACCAGAACTGTAAGCTAAAGGCTGATCCCCCCCCCCCCCCCCCCCCCTCCTATATAAACCAGAACTGTAAGCTAAAGGCTAACTAATACCCCCAGCTCCTATATAAACCAGAACTGTTAGCTAAAGGCTAACTAATACCCCCCACTCCCATATATACCAGAACTGTAGGCTAAAAGCCAACTAATACCCCCCGCTCCTATATTAACTAGAACTGTAAGCTAAAGGCTAACTAATACCCCCCGCTCCCATATAAACCAAAACTGTAAGCTAAAGGCCAACTAACAACTAAACTAGAACTGAAAGCTAAAGGCTAACTAATACCCCGCTCCTATATAAACTAGAACTGTAAGTCTCCCACCAATAAAAAGGGGCATTACTCAATCAAAAAGGGTCGAAATCCCAAATTAAAATGCCAGTGCACAACTACAAAAGATAACGATCATTCATGCAAAGTTTCAATGAAATCCACCTGTTAGTTAAGGAGGAGTTTTCCGGACATGGTGATACCAGTATAACACATACACACACCCCACCCCTTACTTTTTTGCAGGGGTATAATTAAATAATTAAGAGAGTTGAAAGTAATCAAAGATAAGATAGTCACTAAATACAGGGAACACGAGTAGATTTTGCTCTGTTTTTTGCCAAATATAAGCAGTGTATGAACAGAACAGATCTGTACCTCAGGTTTGACTCTTTCTTGAATGTACTGGAATCTGGAGAATTGTTCGGGGAGGTGTTCGCGCTGTCACCTGATGATTCACCGTTATTGTACTCTGAAACAAGGAAAAGTTTGGTCTTAGCTTAATTCACAATTTATTATATTCTGAAACAAAGAAAAGTCCTATCTCAGCTTAATTTACCAATTTAATCTGAAACCAAGATACTTTCAAAGATGGCTGTCTGGTGGCTATCTTGGTTTTCAAATCAGTCCAAACAAGCAAATTCGTGGAATTTATATCCCCCGCTTTCAGGACATATTGTAGGTTAACATTATTGAGGTTAGGTTTAAACATGTGAGTATCGTGCTGTTGAGACATAATATATAGCTTGACACTCGCAGAAAAAAGCCTAATCTAATATTTGCTAGAGTTATTAAGCGGAAACTGCAGATAATGACTCTGCCAAATAGAGTCCAATTAAAGTGGTTGTCAAACTTGGCCGTTTTGTTGAAGTTATTGCACGGAAATGAAGCGCGGCAGATAATGACATTTTCCATTATTCAAGGGGCCATAACTCCGACAAATGGGGTCTGCTGAAAGTGGTTATCGCACTTGGCAGAGCTCTTAAGGTATTTAACCCTGTGACCAAAATCGGTTAAAATTTGTTGTAGATATTGCACGGAAACGAAGCGTGACAGACAGACACAGACAGACAGACAGACTGTGAGACAGACCCTAATATCCCCTGTTTCGGTGAAAGCGGGGGATAAAAATCAGAATGCATAACAAACTTTAACTTTAACAAAAAAATAGTTTTATGACAGCTTGATCTGTTCTCTTCAACAGCAGCTGGTAGTTATCATATCTGAAATATTCTGTTGAAATTGACCACATAGTGTTGGAGGAATTGTCTGGACAAGTACTTTTCAACAAAAGGCCATTACTCTGTAAGAAAGGGTCTGATTAAAAATAATAATACCTGGATGCACAACATCAGGTGGTAGTTATATTATTTGAAAACTTTCATCGCAATTGGCCCAGTAGTTTTGGAGAATTTCTGCGGGCAAACGTTTTCCAAGAGAGGGCACAATAACTGCATAAACAAGAGGCCCAAGGGCCTTAGCTACCTGAGTTATATCATAGGTACTGGTAGCTTTATTTTATTGTTTCGATGTGATGTGGAAATCAGCATGTAAACTAAGTGAAATACAATACTTGTCATGTCATCATAGGATAAGAATTTGAAAATATTGGTAAATGTTCCCTTTGGGGCCCGGCCCTAGCCCCTGGGGATTGGGCAGGAATCCCAATTTTACAATGTAATACCTCCATTCACCAAAGATGATTCTGACTGTAATACCTTCATTCACCAAAGATGATTCTAACTAAGTTTGAGTAATTTTCTGCTGAAAATGGATAAAATATACTCAAAAATGTTATTTCCCTATATAAACTATAGTAAACTTTACCCCCTCCCCAAGGGAGAACAAATAGCTTGGGGGTCCTGAAATTTACAATTTAAATAAAGCCTCTGATGATCTTTCTTTTTATACACTAAAATTGAATGTAATACCTCTGAGTCTGGAGAAGAAGATTTTTGAAATATTGGTTAATTTTCCCTTTGGAGCCCTGTCCTGGCCCCAGGGGTTGGGGTAGGAATCTCAATTTTACAATTTGAAACCATCTTCCTCTAAGGATTATTCTCACCATGTAAAAATAATTTCCTACAGAAAGTTATCAAAATATACCCAAAAGTGTTATTTCCCTATATAAACTATAGTAAACTTTACCCCCTCCCAAAGGGAGAATGGATAGCTCGGGGGTCCTGAAATTTACAATTTAAATAAAGCCCCTGATGATCTTTCTTTTATGCACTGAAAATGACTGTAGTACTTCTGAGTCTGGAGAAGAAGATTTTTGAAATATTGGTTAATTTTTCCTTTGGGGCTCGACCCTGGCCCCAGGGGTTGGGGTAGGAATTTCAATTTTACAATTTGAAACCATCTTCCTTCAAGGATAATTCCCACCAAGTAAAAAAAAATTCCTACAGAAAGTTGTCAAAATATACCCAAAAGTGTTATTTCCCTAAATAACTATTGTAAACTTTACCCCCTCCCCAAGGGAGAATGGATAGCTCGGGGGTCCTAAAATTTACAATTTAAATAAAGCCCCTGATGATCTTTCTTTTTATGCACTAAAATTGAATGTAATACCTCTGAGTCTGGAGAAGAAGATTTTTGAAATATTGGTTAATTTTCCCTTTGGAGCCCTGTCCTGGCCCCAGGGGTTGGGGTAGGAATCTCAATTTTACAATTTGAAACCATCTTCTTCTAAGGATTATTCTCACCAAGTAAAAATAATTTCCTACAGAAAGTTATCAAAATATACCCAAAAGTGTTATTTCCCTATATAAACTATAGTAAACTTTACCCCCTCCCAAAGGGAGAATGGATAGCTCGGGGGTCCTGAAATTTACAATTTAAATAAAGCCCCTGATGATCTTTCTTTTATGCACTGAAAATGACTGTAGTACTTCTGAGTCTGGAGAAGAAGATTTTTGAAATATTGGTTAATTTTTCCTTTGGGGCTCGACCCTGGCCCCAGGGGTTGGGGTAGGAATTTCAATTTTACAATTTGAAACCATCTTCCTTCAAGGATAATTCCCACCAAGTAAAAAAAAATTCCTACAGAAAGTTGTCAAAATATACCCAAAAGTGTTATTTCCCTAAATAACTATTGTAAACTTTACCCCCTCCCCAAGGGAGAATGGATAGCTCGGGGGTCCTAAAATTTACAATTTAAATAAAGCCCCTGATGATCTTTCTTTTTATGCACTAAAATTGAATGTAATACCTCTGAGTCTGGAGAAGAAGATTTTTGAAATATTGGTTAATTTTCCCTTTGGAGCCCTGTCCTGGCCCCAGGGGTTGGGGTAGGAATCTCAATTTTACAATTTGAAACCATCTTCTTCTAAGGATTATTCTCACCAAGTAAAAATAATTTCCTACAGAAAGTTATCAAAATATACCCAAAAGTGTTATTTCCCTATATAAACTATAGTAAACTTTACCCCCTCCCAAAGGGAGAATGGATAGCTCGGGGGTCCTGAAATTTACAATTTAAATAAAGCCCCTGATGATCTTTCTTTTATGCACTGAAAATGACTGTAGTACTTCTGAGTCTGGAGAAGAAGATTTTTGAAATATTGGTTAATTTTTCCTTTGGGGCTCGACCCTGGCCCCAGGGGTTGGGGTAGGAATTTCAATTTTACAATTTGAAACCATCTTCCTTCAAGGATAATTCCCACCAAGTAAAAAAAAATTCCTACAGAAAGTTGTCAAAATATACCCAAAAGTGTTATTTCCCTAAATAACTATTGTAAACTTTACCCCCTCCCCAAGGGAGAATGGATAGCTCGGGGGTCCTAAAATTTACAATTTAAATAAAGCCCCTGATGATCTTTCTTTTTATGCACTAAAATTGAATGTAATACCTCTGAGTCTGGAGAAGAAGATTTTTGAAATATTGGTTAATTTTCCCTTTGGAGCCCTGTCCTGGCCCCAGGGGTTGGGGTAGGAATCTCAATTTTACAATTTGAAACCATCTTCTTCTAAGGATTATTCTCACCAAGTAAAAATAATTTCCTACAGAAAGTTATCAAAATATACCCAAAAGTGTTATTTCCCTATATAAACTATAGTAAACTTTACCCCCTCCCAAAGGGAGAATGGATAGCTCGGGGGTCCTGAAATTTACAATTTAAATAAAGCCCCTGATGATCTTTCTTTTATGCACTGAAAATGACTGTAGTACTTCTGAGTCTGGAGAAGAAGATTTTTGAAATATTGGTTAATTTTTCCTTTGGGGCTCGACCCTGGCCCCAGGGGTTGGGGTAGGAATTTCAATTTTACAATTTGAAACCATCTTCCTTCAAGGATAATTCCCACCAAGTAAAAAAAAATTCCTACAGAAAGTTGTCAAAATATACCCAAAAGTGTTATTTCCCTAAATAACTATTGTAAACTTTACCCCCTCCCCAAGGGAGAATGGATAGCTCGGGGGTCCTAAAATTTACAATTTAAATAAAGCCCCTGATGATCTTTCTTTTTATGCACTAAAATTGAATGTAATACCTCTGAGTCTGGAGAAGAAGATTTTTGAAATATTGGTTAATTTTCCCTTTGGAGCCCTGTCCTGGCCCCAGGGGTTGGGGTAGGAATCTCAATTTTACAATTTGAAACCATCTTCTTCTAAGGATTATTCTCACCAAGTAAAAATAATTTCCTACAGAAAGTTATCAAAATATACCCAAAAGTGTTATTTCCCTATATAAACTATAGTAAACTTTACCCCCTCCCAAAGGGAGAATGGATAGCTCGGGGGTCCTGAAATTTACAATTTAAATAAAGCCCCTGATGATCTTTCTTTTATGCACTGAAAATGACTGTAGTACTTCTGAGTCTGGAGAAGAAGATTTTTGAAATATTGGTTAATTTTTCCTTTGGGGCTCGACCCTGGCCCCAGGGGTTGGGGTAGGAATTTCAATTTTACAATTTGAAACCATCTTCCTTCAAGGATAATTCCCACCAAGTAAAAAAAAATTCCTACAGAAAGTTGTCAAAATATACCCAAAAGTGTTATTTCCCTAAATAACTATTGTAAACTTTACCCCCTCCCCAAGGGAGAATGGATAGCTCGGGGGTCCTAAAATTTACAATTTAAATAAAGCCCCTGATGATCTTTCTTTTTATGCACTAAAATTGAATGTAATACCTCTGAGTCTGGAGAAGAAGATTTTTGAAATATTGGTTAATTTTCCCTTTGGAGCCCTGTCCTGGCCCCAGGGGTTGGGGTAGGAATCTCAATTTTACAATTTGAAACCATCTTCTTCTAAGGATTATTCTCACCAAGTAAAAATAATTTCCTACAGAAAGTTATCAAAATATACCCAAAAGTGTTATTTCCCTATATAAACTATAGTAAACTTTACCCCCTCCCAAAGGGAGAATGGATAGCTCGGGGGTCCTGAAATTTACAATTTAAATAAAGCCCCTGATGATCTTTCTTTTATGCACTGAAAATGACTGTAGTACTTCTGAGTCTGGAGAAGAAGATTTTTGAAATATTGGTTAATTTTTCCTTTGGGGCTCGACCCTGGCCCCAGGGGTTGGGGTAGGAATTTCAATTTTACAATTTGAAACCATCTTCCTTCAAGGATAATTCCCACCAAGTAAAAAAAAATTCCTACAGAAAGTTGTCAAAATATACCCAAAAGTGTTATTTCCCTAAATAACTATTGTAAACTTTACCCCCTCCCCAAGGGAGAATGGATAGCTCGGGGGTCCTAAAATTTACAATTTAAATAAAGCCCCTGATGATCTTTCTTTTTATGCACTAAAATTGAATGTAATACCTCTGAGTCTGGAGAAGAAGATTTTTGAAATATTGGTTAATTTTCCCTTTGGAGCCCTGTCCTGGCCCCAGGGGTTGGGGTAGGAATCTCAATTTTACAATTTGAAACCATCTTCTTCTAAGGATTATTCTCACCAAGTAAAAATAATTTCCTACAGAAAGTTATCAAAATATACCCAAAAGTGTTATTTCCCTATATAAACTATAGTAAACTTTACCCCCTCCCAAAGGGAGAATGGATAGCTCGGGGGTCCTGAAATTTACAATTTAAATAAAGCCCCTGATGATCTTTCTTTTATGCACTGAAAATGACTGTAGTACTTCTGAGTCTGGAGAAGAAGATTTTTGAAATATTGGTTAATTTTTCCTTTGGGGCTCGACCCTGGCCCCAGGGGTTGGGGTAGGAATTTCAATTTTACAATTTGAAACCATCTTCCTTCAAGGATAATTCCCACCAAGTAAAAAAAAATTCCTACAGAAAGTTGTCAAAATATACCCAAAAGTGTTATTTCCCTAAATAACTATTGTAAACTTTACCCCCTCCCCAAGGGAGAATGGATAGCTCGGGGGTCCTAAAATTTACAATTTAAATAAAGCCCCTGATGATCTTTCTTTTTATGCACTAAAATTGAATGTAATACCTCTGAGTCTGGAGAAGAAGATTTTTGAAATATTGGTTAATTTTCCCTTTGGAGCCCTGTCCTGGCCCCAGGGGTTGGGGTAGGAATCTCAATTTTACAATTTGAAACCATCTTCTTCTAAGGATTATTCTCACCAAGTAAAAATAATTTCCTACAGAAAGTTATCAAAATATACCCAAAAGTGTTATTTCCCTATATAAACTATAGTAAACTTTACCCCCTCCCAAAGGGAGAATGGATAGCTCGGGGGTCCTGAAATTTACAATTTAAATAAAGCCCCTGATGATCTTTCTTTTATGCACTGAAAATGACTGTAGTACTTCTGAGTCTGGAGAAGAAGATTTTTGAAATATTGGTTAATTTTTCCTTTGGGGCTCGACCCTGGCCCCAGGGGTTGGGGTAGGAATTTCAATTTTACAATTTGAAACCATCTTCCTTCAAGGATAATTCCCACCAAGTAAAAAAAAATTCCTACAGAAAGTTGTCAAAATATACCCAAAAGTGTTATTTCCCTAAATAACTATTGTAAACTTTACCCCCTCCCCAAGGGAGAATGGATAGCTCGGGGGTCCTAAAATTTACAATTTAAATAAAGCCCCTGATGATCTTTCTTTTTATGCACTAAAATTGAATGTAATACCTCTGAGTCTGGAGAAGAAGATTTTTGAAATATTGGTTAATTTTCCCTTTGGAGCCCTGTCCTGGCCCCAGGGGTTGGGGTAGGAATCTCAATTTTACAATTTGAAACCATCTTCTTCTAAGGATTATTCTCACCAAGTAAAAATAATTTCCTACAGAAAGTTATCAAAATATACCCAAAAGTGTTATTTCCCTATATAAACTATAGTAAACTTTACCCCCTCCCAAAGGGAGAATGGATAGCTCGGGGGTCCTGAAATTTACAATTTAAATAAAGCCCCTGATGATCTTTCTTTTATGCACTGAAAATGACTGTAGTACTTCTGAGTCTGGAGAAGAAGATTTTTGAAATATTGGTTAATTTTTCCTTTGGGGCTCGACCCTGGCCCCAGGGGTTGGGGTAGGAATTTCAATTTTACAATTTGAAACCATCTTCCTTCAAGGATAATTCCCACCAAGTAAAAAAAAATTCCTACAGAAAGTTGTCAAAATATACCCAAAAGTGTTATTTCCCTAAATAACTATTGTAAACTTTACCCCCTCCCCAAGGGAGAATGGATAGCTCGGGGGTCCTAAAATTTACAATTTAAATAAAGCCCCTGATGATCTTTCTTTTTATGCACTAAAATTGAATGTAATACCTCTGAGTCTGGAGAAGAAGATTTTTGAAATATTGGTTAATTTTCCCTTTGGAGCCCTGTCCTGGCCCCAGGGGTTGGGGTAGGAATCTCAATTTTACAATTTGAAACCATCTTCTTCTAAGGATTATTCTCACCAAGTAAAAATAATTTCCTACAGAAAGTTATCAAAATATACCCAAAAGTGTTATTTCCCTATATAAACTATAGTAAACTTTACCCCCTCCCAAAGGGAGAATGGATAGCTCGGGGGTCCTGAAATTTACAATTTAAATAAAGCCCCTGATGATCTTTCTTTTATGCACTGAAAATGACTGTAGTACTTCTGAGTCTGGAGAAGAAGATTTTTGAAATATTGGTTAATTTTTCCTTTGGGGCTCGACCCTGGCCCCAGGGGTTGGGGTAGGAATTTCAATTTTACAATTTGAAACCATCTTCCTTCAAGGATAATTCCCACCAAGTAAAAAAAAAATCCTACAGAAAGTTGTCAAAATATACCCAAAAGTGTTATTTCCCTAAATAACTATTGTAAACTTTACCCCCTCCCCAAGGGAGAATGGATAGCTCGGGGGTCCTAAAATTTACAATTTAGGTAAAGCCCCTGATGATCTTTCTTTTATGCACTGAAAATGACTGTAGTACTTCTGAGTCTGGAGAAGAAGAATTTTGAAATAGCCTGAATCGCTCACCTGGTATTAATCTCACACTTGTAATCTTAAAAGTGGACTAATATACAGCTACAGGCAAAATATCTGTGTTCGATCCATTTGAATCTATTAAATGATTTAAACATATGACGCCTGCGACCTTGAAAGTTTATAGCCTTCCGTCCCGGCATATTTCTGGCTAAATATCATTACCCTGGACCTTTTGAAAATTCAGAACAAGTCATTTAAAGATTTAAACATATTTGATCTCCGTGATTTTGAATATGAGCAAAGGTGATTCATTTGAACAAACTTGTTAGCCCTTCATCCCAGCATGTTAATGGCCAAATATCATCATCCAAGGCCTTTTGGTTATTGAGAAGAAGTTGTTTAAACCATCAACCCTATAATACATCAGGGAGATAATCACCATCAACCCTGTGATATATCAGCTGGGATAACTTACCATCAACCACATACTAGATCAGAGGGATAATCACCATCAACCCTGTGATACATCAGGAGGAGGGGGGGGGGTAACTTACCATCTACCCTGTAATAGATCAGGGGGGATAACTAACCATCAACTCTGTAATAGATCAGGGGGATAACTTACCATCAACCCTGTAATAGAACAGGGGGGATAACTAACCATCAACCCTGTAATAGATCAGGCAGATAATCACCATCAACCCTGTAATAGATCAGGGGGATAACTTACCATCAACCATATAATAGATCAGGGGGATAATCACCATTAACCCTGTAATAGAACAGGGGAGATAACTTACAATAAAACCTGTAATAGAACAAGGGGGATAATCACCATCAACCCTGTAATAGATCAGGGGGATAATCACCATTAACCATGTAATAGAACAGGGGAGATAACTTACCATCAAACCTGTAATAGAACAAGGGGGATAACTTACCATCAACTCTGTAATAGATCAAGGAGATAATCACCATCAACCCTGTGATATATCAGCGGGGATAACTTACCATCAACCACATAATAGATCAGGGGGATAATCACTATCAACCCTGTAATAGAACAGGGGAGATAACTTACCATCAAACCTGTAATAGAGCAAGGGGGATAACTTACCATCAATCCTGTAATAGATCAGGGGGATAACTAACCATCAACTCTGTAATAGATCAAGGAGATAATCACCATCAACCCTGTGATATATCAGCGGGGATAACTTACCATCAACCACATAATAGATCAGGGGGATAATCACTTTCAACCCTGTAATAGATCAGGGGGATAACTTACAATCAACCTTGTTATAGATCAGGGGGATAACTTACCATCAACCCTATAATAGATCAGGGGATAATCACCATCAACCCTGTAATAGATCAGGGGGATAACTTACAATCAACCTTGTTTTAGATCAGGGGGATAACTTACCATCAACCCTATAATAGATCAGGGGATAATCACTATCAACCCTGTAATAGAACAGGGGGGATAACTTATCATCAACCCTGTTAAAGAACAGGAGGGATAACTCACCATTACCCCTGTTATAGAGCAGGGGTATAACTCACCATCAATCCTGTAATAGAACAGGGAGGGATAACCCACCACCAACCCTGTGATAAAATAGGGGGGATTAATCACCATCAACCCTGTAATAGATCAGGGTGGAAAACTCACCATCAAGGTTGTATTGGACAAGTAGAGTGAGATCTTTTCCACACTGGTGTAGAAAACGAGCAGCAATTTCATGGGTTGCTGTTCTCATGTTGATCCCACAAATCTAAAACACAATATATCAAGTCATTAAAAATCTCCATGAATATAACACAATTATTTTCCTCATTGGTGGCTGCTCACATAAAAAATTAAGTCCTTTATATCATGCAATTACTTGTGTTTTTGTTGGTTAATTTTATTTGTTACCATCTGAACCAATTAATGTTTCAGTGAATACAGTTTACCAGGATATTCTTTGGGTTTACAGTAAGACAGGATATTCTATGAGGAAAATGTAATGTTTTGGTGTTTACAGTAAGACAGGATATTCTATGAGGACATTGTAATGTTTGGTGTTTACAGTAAGACAGGATATTCTATGAGGACAATGTAATGTTTGGTGTTTATAGTAAGACAGGATATTCTATGAGGACAATGTAATGTTTGGTGTTTATAGTAAGACAGGATATTCTATGAGGACAATGTAATGTTTGGTGTTTATAGTAAGACAGGATATTCTATGAGGACAATGTAATGTTTGGTGTTTATAGTAAGACAGGATATTCTATGAGGACAATGTAATGTTTGGTGTTTATAGTAAGACAGGATATTCTATGAGGACAATGTAATGTTTGGTGTTTATAGTAAGACAGGATATTCTATGAGGACAATGTAATGTTTGGTGTTTATAGTAAGACAGGATATTCTATGAGGACAATGTAATGTTTGGTGTTTATAGTAAGACAGGATATTCTATGAGGACAATGTAATGTTTGGTGTTTATAGTAAGACAGGATATTCTATGAGGACAATGTAATGTTTGGTGTTTATAGTAAGACAGGATATTCTATGAGGACAATGTAATGTTTGGTGTTTATAGTAAGACAGGATATTCTATGAGGACAATGTAATGTTTGGTGTTTATAGTAAGACAGGATATTCTATGAGGACAATGTAATGTTTGGTGTTTATAGTAAGACAGGATATTCTATGAGGACAATGTAATGTTTGGTGTTTATAGTAAGACAGGATATTCTATGAGGACAATGTAATGTTTGGTGTTTATAGTAAGACAGGATATTCTATGAGGACAATGTAATGTTTGGTGTTTATAGTAAGACAGGATATTCTATGAGGACAATGTAATGTTTGGTGTTTATAGTAAGACAGGATATTCTATGAGGACAATGTAATGTTTGGTGTTTATAGTAAGACAGGATATTCTATGAGGACAATGTAATGTTTGGTGTTTATAGTAAGACAGGATATTCTATGAGGACAATGTAATGTTTGGTGTTTATAGTAAGACAGGATATTCTATGAGGACAATGTAATGTTTGGTGTTTATAGTAAGACAGGATATTCTATGAGGACAATGTAATGTTTGGTGTTTATAGTAAGACAGGATATTCTATGAGGACAATGTAATGTTTGGTGTTTATAGTAAGACAGGATATTCTATGAGGACAATGTAATGTTTGGTGTTTATAGTAAGACAGGATATTCTATGAGGACAATGTAATGTTTGGTGTTTATAGTAAGACAGGATATTCTATGAGGACAATGTAATGTTTGGTGTTTATAGTAAGACAGGATATTCTATGAGGACAATGTAATGTTTGGTGTTTATAGTAAGACAGGATATTCTATGAGGACAATGTAATGTTTGGTGTTTATAGTAAGACAGGATATTCTATGAGGACAATGTAATGTTTGGTGTTTATAGTAAGACAGGATATTCTATGAGGACAATGTAATGTTTGGTGTTTATAGTAAGACAGGATATTCTATGAGGACAATGTAATGTTTGGTGTTTATAGTAAGACAGGATATTCTATGAGGACAATGTAATGTTTGGTGTTTATAGTAAGACAGGATATTCTATGAGGACAATGTAATGTTTGGTGTTTATAGTAAGACAGGATATTCTATGAGGACAATGTAATGTTTGGTGTTTATAGTAAGACAGGATATTCTATGAGGACAATGTAATGTTTGGTGTTTATAGTAAGACAGGATATTCTATGAGGACAATGTAATGTTTGGTGTTTATAGTAAGACAGGATATTCTATGAGGACAATGTAATGTTTGGTGTTTATAGTAAGACAGGATATTCTATGAGGACAATGTAATGTTTGGTGTTTATAGTAAGACAGGATATTCTATGAGGACAATGTAATGTTTGGTGTTTATAGTAAGACAGGATATTCTATGAGGACAATGTAATGTTTGGTGTTTATAGTAAGACAGGATATTCTATGAGGACAATGTAATGTTTGGTGTTTATAGTAAGACAGGATATTCTATGAGGACAATGTAATGTTTGGTGTTTATAGTAAGACAGGATATTCTATGAGGACAATGTAATGTTTGGTGTTTATAGTAAGACAGGATATTCTATGAGGACAATGTAATGTTTGGTGTTTATAGTAAGACAGGATATTCTATGAGGACAATGTAATGTTTGGTGTTTATAGTAAGACAGGATATTCTATGAGGACAATGTAATGTTTGGTGTTTATAGTAAGACAGGATATTCTATGAGGACAATGTAATGTTTGGTGTTTATAGTAAGACAGGATATTCTATGAGGACAATGTAATGTTTGGTGTTTATAGTAAGACAGGATATTCTATGAGGACAATGTAATGTTTGGTGTTTATAGTAAGACAGGATATTCTATGAGGACAATGTAATGTTTGGTGTTTATAGTAAGACAGGATATTCTATGAGGACAATGTAATGTTTGGTGTTTACAGTAAGACAGGATATTCTATGAGGACAATGTAATGTTTGGTGTTTATAGTAAGACAGGATATTCTATGAGGACAATGTAATGTTTCTGGTTTACTGTAAGACAGGATTTTCTATGAGGTTAACGTAATGGTTTGGTGTATACAGTAAGACAGGATTTTCTATGAGGACAATTTGAGTTTTTTTATATAAAACCCATTTTATGATAAAACTACTTACCACGTCCAATTATTATGCAAAAGATCTCCAACTTCCAGTTCTTTAACTCCCAAAGGAAAGTTTCAAATGCGCTGCGCAAATACGAAACTACTCCCTGTCCAAACCAGACATATGGGTGTAGGATGCGCGCGCACCTCCAACTTCCTCTATTCGAAACACGAACAAAACACCTATAGGAACAAGAGGCCCAAAGGGCCTGCATCGCTCACCTGGTATTAATCTCGCAGTTGTAACCTTAAAAGTGGACTAAAATAAAGCTACAGGCAAAATATCAGTGTCTTGTCTTCAAGTCAGTCAGAAGAACCTGTTAAACGATTAAAACACATTTGACCCCTGTGACCTTAAAAGGTCAAACATGAACAAACTTCATAGCGCTTCTTCCCAGAATGCTTAATTTTGATTATACAGAAGAAGTCGTTTAAAGGTTTTCAAGACAATTGACTCCTTTGACCTTGAATATGAGGGAAGGTCATTTGTTTGAACAAACTTGGTAGCGCTTCATGCCAACATCCTACTGGCCAAATATCATCACCCTAGGGCTTTTGCTTATTCAGAAGAAGTTGTTTAAAGATTTTAACATATTTGACCCTGTGACCTTGAAAATGGATGAAGGTCATTTATTTGAACAAACTTAGTAGTCCTTCATCCCAGCATGTTACTGGCTAACTATCATCACCCTAGGCCTCTTTGTTATTCAGAAGAAGTTGTTTAAAGGTAATAAACATATTTGACCCCAGTGACCTTGAATATAAGTCAAGGTACTTTATTTGAACAAACTTGGTAGCCCTTCATCCTAACATGTTACTGGCCAAATATCATTACTCTAGGTCTCTTAGTGATTCAGAAGAAGTTGTTTAAAGATCTTTTAAGACAATTGACCCCTGTGACCTTGAAAATGAATGAAGGTCATTCATTTGAACAAAATTGGTAGCCCTTCATCCCAGCTTGCTACTGGCCAAATATCATCACCCTGGGCATTTTGGTTATTTAAAAGAAGTTGTTTAAAGATTTTTTAAGACATTTGACCCCTGTGACCTTGAAAATAGGTGAATGTCATGTATTTGAACAAACTTGGTAGCCCTTTATCCCAGTTTACTTCTGGCCAAATATCATCATCCTTGGCCATGAGAAGAAGTTAAAGTAAAATATTGACGCTGGAAGAAAAAGAGGAAGTTGGAGGTGCGCGCGCATCCTACACCCGTATGTCTGGTTTGGACAGGGAGTAGTTTCGTATTTGCGCGGGGCATTTGAAACTTTCCTTTGGGAGGGAGTTAAAGAACTGGTAGTTGGAGATCATTTGCATAATAATTGGACGTGGTAAGTATTGTTTTTGATATAAAAGTTATGTTTTGGTGTATACAGTAAGCCAGAATTTTCTAGGAGGACAATGTAATGTTTTGGTGTTTACAATAACTGGTCCCTAATCATTATCCCCCAGTAACTGGTCCCAAATCACTAACCTCTAGTTACTGGTCCCCAATAACTAACCTCTAGTAACTGTTTCCAAATCACTAACCTCTAGTTACTGTTTCCAAATCACTAACCTCTAGTAACTGGTCCCCAATAACTAACCTCTAGTAACTGGTCCCTAATCACTAACCTCTAGTAACTGGTTCTCAATAACTTACCTCTAGTAACTGGTCCCCAATGACGAGCCCTGCGTCTGCTGCAAGGCTGTTTGTGTTGACCATAGATACAAAGATTCCTCCTGTACTCCTTTTCTCGATATTGAAGCCAACTGGTTGCAGGTTCCGCTCAACATGTATGGTCCGGGTTTCACCAGGGTAAGGCCTGAAGCAATCAGGTGTCATATTAGATGTTTCTCTCGTTTAAGATAAACTGTTTTGCTTTGTACTTCGACCTTTAGTTGGTAGCTCAAGGTGACATGACCTATAACATTGCACTAAAGACCTTATCAGTACCAGTGATGTACAAGATTTATACCAGCAATAAACCCATGTTTTGTAATAAGCCCACCCCCTACATTGAATATATTTAATGAATTAAAGCTTACAGCCTGGACAAGATTATAGCTTAAACACTATTTCTTATAACTATATTTTCAGCATTAGTACTTTTAATAGAAGCAAAAGGTTTTAGAATGAAAATTGTTACATTTCAGTGATCTTTAGGGATTAATGGGAAAATGTTCCAAATAAAAGTGATTTTGCAAGTTTTTCCACACATTGAGTCTCCTTGGCTTTAGATGTTCTAGACTAAATCATTGAAATCACTAAATCCTTACTGAAGGAGAAAGTTCAAAATTTGTCTCCAGTTCGCATTATTGTGCCATATCCTGCTGCCTTAAGGGAGCCAGCCCTCTGTCAATACAACATCGAGTCTTCTTGGTCCAAGGATATTTCCTATGTAATTTGGTTAATAAGGTGAAGATCATTTCTTTGATGGAACTTTGTACTTCTCTATCACACCATCCTATTGGCCAACTATCATCACCCTGGCACTCTTCGTTAAAAAGAAGTTGATTACAGGTTTTTACACATTTGATCCATGCAACATTAAAAGTCAAGATCATGAACTTGTGGATTTTTTTAAAACTCCATCCCAGCATGCCATTAGACAAATATCATCACCCAGAACTTCCTATTTATGCAGAAGGAGTTGTTAAAAGGTTTTCACATAATTAATTCATGTGACCTTGAATATGAATGAATCAATGTCATTTATTTGAGGAAGCTTTAAAGCACCACATCACACCATGATACTGCCCAAATATCATCACTATATGTGTCTCAGTTATTCAGAGGAAGTCTTTCAAATCTTTTAACACATTTGACCCCTGTGACCTTCGATGTTGGTCAAGGTCATCTATTCTCACTCTTTTGAAACCATATTCTCACCATCTACTTTAAGTCAGGGTAGACAGGTATGGCAGTGTGCTAAATTAATTCTTCACAATTTTGCTCTCGTTCAATTAAGCCTTCGTCTACATAAACATCGTAATCTGGCTATAGTTCACAATGTTATTGGGGTGGACACTTTCAAACAATAAAATCCCAGTATGCTATTTCAATTATGCAGTTTCCTCAACTTTAAACTAAGCCTTAGTCTTAGTATCTTTAACAAGCTTTCATGTTTTATTAAAATGAAACATTATTTTGGAGTGACCTTGTCCAAACCAAAGTGTTGAAGACAGACACTCCCATACTATGATATGTCCAATCAAAATTTTCCATACCAAAGAGATTTTATCTCCTGTCATACTTACTTTCTCCTCTGTACAACAGAGATTATATCTCCTGTCATACTTACTTTCTCCTCTGTACAATAGAGATTATATCTCCTGTCATACTTACTTTCTCCTCTGTACAATAGAGATTATATCTCCTGTCATACTTACTTTCTCCTCTGTACAATAGAGATTATATCTCCTGTCATACTTACTTTCTCCTCTGTACAATAGAGATTATATCTCCTGTCATACTTACTTTCTCCTCTGTACAATAGAGATTATATCTCCTGTCATACTTACTTTCTCCTCTGTACAATAGAGATTATATCTCCTGTCATACTTACTTTCTCCTCTGTACAATAGAGATTATATCTCCTGTCATACTTACTTTCTCCTCTGTACAATAGAGATTATATCTCCTGTCATACTTACTTTCTCCTCTGTACAATAGAGATTATATCTCCTGTCATACTTACTTTCTCCTCTGTACAATAGAGATTATATCTCCTGTCATACTTATTTTCTCCTCTGTACAATAGAGATTATATCTCCTGTCATACTTATTTTCTCCTCTGTACAATAGAGATTATATCTCCTGTCATACTTATTTTCTCCTCTGTACAATAGAGATTATATCTCCTGTCATACTTATTTTCTCCTCTGTACAATAGAGATTATATCTCCTGTCATACTTATTTTCTCCTCTGTACAATAGAGATTATATCTCCTGTCATACTTATTTTCTCCTCTGTACAATAGAGATTATATTTCCTGTCATACTTACTTTCTCCTCCGTTGAGGCATTTCTAATCTGCTGTTCAGTAAAGGAGAACCAGGACTGCTTCGCTCAGAAACTTCAATGAGAGAACAATTCTATTTATCTATTATTATATTTATCAAATATAATAAATAATTTTGAACAGTAATTAAAAATTATGATTGTTCTTTAACTGACCTGAGGAACAAATAACTTATTCTTTTCTCCAAAAATGGTCAAAATCTGCTAAATTTAAGTTACGTATTTCCTTTTCTGGCTTGTTTAATGTTTTTTGAATGTTTTGTTGGTTAAGACTAATTTACAGAAACATAGTGTCTAGGGTTGAGCCTATGGTATAGGCCACTGTTCTTTAGCTCATGGCATAGGCGGCTGTTCTTTGGCCTATGATATAGGCCACTGTTCTTAAGCCTTTGGTTTAGGCCACTGTTCTTTTAGCCTAAGGTATAGGCCACTGTTTTTTTAGCCTATGGTATAGGCCACTGTTCTTAATCTCTTGGAATAGGCAACTGTTCTTTATCTCATGGTATAGGCAACTGTTCTTTGGCCTATGGTATAGGCCACTGTTCTTTAGCCGAAGATATAGGCCACTGTTCTTTCTATTAAGACAGAAACATAAAGTCTTGGGGTCGAACCTATTGTATAGGCCACTGTTCTTTCCATAAAGACAGAAACACAGTGTCTTGGGGCGAGTCTTTGTATAGGCCACTGTTCTTTTAGCCTATGGTATAGGCCACTGGTTTTTTAGCCTATGGTATAGGCCACTGTTCTTTCCATTAAGATAGTAACATAGTGTATGGGGTGGAACCTATGGCATAGGCCACTGTTCTTTCCATTAAGATAGTAACACATTGTCTTGTTGAGCTTATGGTATATGCCACTGTTTTTTAGTCTATGGTATAGGTCACTGTTCATTAGCCTATGGTATAGGCCACTGTTCTTTCTATTCAGACAGTAACATAGTGTCTGAGGTAGAGCCTATGGTATAGGCCACTGTTCTTCAGCCTATGGTATAGGCCACTGTTCTTTAGCCTTTGGTTTAGGCCACTGTTCTTCTAGCCTAAGGTATAGGTCACTGTTCTTTTAGCCTATGGTATAGGCCACTGTTCTTTAGCCTATCTTATAGGCCACTGTTCTTTATCTCACGGTATAGGCAACTGTTCTTTAGCCTAAGATATAGGCCACTGTTCTTTCTATTAAGAAAGAGACATAGTGTCTGGGGTAGAGCCTATGGTATAGGCCACTGTTCTTTCTATTAAGACAGAAACATAGTGTCTGGGGTCGAGCCTATGGTATAGGTTACTGTTCTTTCCATTAAGACAGAAACACAGTGTCTTGGGGTGAGCCTTTGAATAGGCCACTGTTCTTTTAGCCTATGGTATAAGCTACTGGTTTTTTAGCCTATGGTATAGGCCACTGTTCTTTTAGGCTATGGTATAGGCCACTGGTTTTTTTAGCCTATGCTATAGGCCATTGTTCTTTCTATTAAGACAGTAACAAAGTGTCTGGGGTAGAGCCTATGGTTCAGGCCACTGTTCTTTCCATTAAGATAGTAACAGTGTCTTGTTGGGCTTATGGTATATGCCACTGTTCTTTAGTCTATGGTTATAGGCCACTGTCTTTTCCATTAAGACAGTAACACAGTGTCGTGTTGGGCTTATGGTATATGCCACTGTTTTTTAGCCTATGTTATAGGCAACTGTTCTTTCGCTAATGGAATAGGCCACTGTTCTTTCCATTAAGACAGTAACACAGTGTCTTGTTGGGCTTATGGTATATGCCACGGTTTTTTAGCCTATGGTATAGGCCACTATTCTTTAGCCTATGGTTTAGGCCACTGTTCTTTTAGCCTATGATATAGGCCACTGTCTTTTGCCTAAGGTATAGGCCACTGTTCTTTTAGCATATGATATAGGCCACTGTTTTTTAGCCTGTGGTAAAGGCCACTGTTCTTTTAGCCTATGATATAGGCCACTGCTCTTTAGCCTATGGTAAAGTCACTGTTTTTTCAGCCTATGGTTTAGGCAACTGTTCTTAAGCCTATGGTATAGGTCACAGTTCTTTTCATTAAACAAGTAATATAGTGTCTGGGGTCGAGCCTATAGTTTAGGCCACTATTCTTTCCATTAAGACAAAAATATAGTGTCTGGGGTCAAGCCTATCGTTAAGGCCACTGTTCTTTCCATAAAGACAGTAACATAATGTCTGGGGTCGAGCATATGGGGTAGGCCACTGTTCTGGGTTTTTTAAAACAGAAACATAGTGTCTTGGGTTGAGCCTATGGTAAAGGCCACTGTTCTTTAGCCTATGGTATAGGCGACTGTTCTTTGCATTAAGACAGAAACATAGTGTCTGGGGTTGAGCCTATGATAGGCCACTGTTCTTTCCATTAAGACAGAAATATAGTGTCTTGGGTGGAGCCTATGGTTCAGGCCACTGTTCTTTCCATTAAGACAGTAACAGTGTCTTGTTGGGCTTATGGTATATGCCACTGTTCTTTAGCATATGGCATAGGCCACTTTTCTTTTTTTTTAAGACAGTAACATAGTGTCTGGCTTTTAGCCTTCTGTTTGGGCCATTGTTCTTTTAGCCTATGGTTAAGGCCTATGTTCTTTTAGCCTATGGTTTAGGCCACTGCTCTTTAGCCTATGGTATAAGCCACTGTTTTTTCAGCCTATGGTTTAGGCCACTGTTCTTTCCATTAAGACAGAAACACAGTGCCTGGGGTCGAGCCTATGGTAAATGCCACTGTTCTTTCCATTAAGACAGAAACATAGTGTCTGGGGTCGAGTATATGGTATAGGCCACTGTTCTTTCCATTAAGACAGAAACTTGGTCTGGGGTCGAGCCTATGATAAATGCCACTGTTCTTTCCATTAAGACAGAAACACAGTGTCTTGGGGTGAGCCTTTGAATAGGCCACTGTTCTTTTAGCCTATGGTATAAGCTACTGGGTTTTTTAGCCTATGGTATAGGTCACTGTTCTTTTAGCCTATGGTAGAGGCCGCTGTTCTTTCCATTAAGACAGAAACATAGTGTCTGGGGTGGAGCCTATGGTTCAGGCCACTGTTCTTTCCATTAAGATAGTAACAGCGTCTTGTTGGGCTTATGGTATATGCCACTGTTTTTTAACCTATGTTATAGGCAACTGTTCTTTAGCTAATAGAATAGGCCACTGTTCTTTCCATTAAGACAGTTACACAGTGTCTTGTTGGGCTTATGGTATATGCCACTGTTTTTTAACCTATGAATAGGCCACTGTTCTTTTAGCCTATGGTATAAGCTACTGGGTTTTTTAGCCTATGGTATAGGTCACTGTTCTTTTAGCCTATGGTATAGGCCACTGTTCTTTCCATTAAGACAGAAACATAGTGTCTGGGGTTGAGCCTATGGTTCAGGCCACTGTTCTTTCTATTATGACAGAAACAAAGTGTCTGGGGTAGAGCCTATGGTAAAGGCCACTGTTCTTTTTATAAAAACAAAAACATAGTGTCTGGGGTGGAGCCTATGGTTCAGGCCACTGTTCTTTCCATTAAGATAGTAACAGTGTCTTGTTGGGCTTATGGTATATGCCACTGTTTTTTAACCTATGTTATAGGCAACTGTTCTTTAGCTAATAGAATAGGCCACTGTTCTTTCCATTAAGACAGTTACACAGTGTCTTGTTGGGCTTATGGTATATGCCACGGTTTTTTAGCCTATGGTATAGGCCAATATTCTTTAGCCTTTGGTATAGGCCACTGTTCTTTTAGCCTATGATATAGGCCACTGTTCTTTAGCCTGTGGTAAAGGCCACTGTTCTTTTAGCCTATGATATAGGCCACTGCTCTTTAGCCTATGGTAAAGTCACTGTTTTTTCAGCCTATGGTTTAGGCAACTGTTCTTAAGCCTATGGTATAGGTCACAGTTATTTTCATTAAACAAGTAATAAAGTGTCTTGGGTTGAGCCTATGGTATAGGCCACTGTTCTTTCCATTAAGACAGAAACATAGTGTCTTGGGTGGAGCCTATGGTTCAGGCCACTGTTATTTCCATTAAGACAGTAACACAGTGTCTTGTTGGGCTTATGGTATATGCCACTGTTCTTTAGCATATGGCATAGGCCACTTTTCTTTTTTTTAAGACAGTAACATAGTGTCTGGCTTTTAGCCTTCTGTTTGGGCCATTGTTATTTTAGCCTATGGTTAAGGCCTATGTTCTTTTAGCCTATGATATAGGCCACTGTTCTTTAGCCTATGGTTTAGGCCACTGCTCTTTAGCCTATGGTATAAGCCACTGTTTTTTCAGCCTATGGTTTAGGCCACTGTTCTTTCCATTAAGACAGAAACACAGTGTCTGGGGTCGAGCCTATGGTAAATGCCACTGTTCTTTCCATTAAGACAGAAACTTGGTCTGGGGTTGAGCCTATGGTAAATGCCACTGTTCTTTCCATTAAGACAGAAACATAGTGTCTTGGGTTGAGCCTATGGTTTATGCCACTTTTCTTTTCAATAAGGCAGTTTTGGCTTAGAACAAGCCTGGTGTGCATGTTTCTTTCCCCAAAATCATTATGGGCTAAATGACCTTATCATAACTGGCCCACAAACTTGGAAATCTTACTATCAAAATCTTTAGGCATAAATACCTGGGTGAATAAGATCTTTCAAAAACCAATAAAGAGGCCCAATGGGCCTGCATCGTTTACCTGGTATCAACCCAACACCTGTAACCTTAAAAGTGGACTGAAATAAAGTTTATTTAGATGAGGTCAATTAACAAGAGGCCCAGAGGGCCTGTATCGCTCACCTGAATATGTTTTAAATAATTGGTATGAAGTAAAGATATAGCACTCCATGGTAGGTGCTGTAAGTACATATGAAATTTCAGAAAGATCCATCCAGTACATGAGATATATAGTGAGAACAAACTTCAAACAGAGCCCCACCCCTATGCCCCTAGGGGGTCATACAGACCCGTACACGTTCGCTGTTCCACTTTCAGTGTACCGTTTGCGTAGCATTTCCGTACCGTTTGCGTATCACTTGCGTATCACTTGCGTAGCATTTCCGTAGTACTTCCGTACCATTACCGTAGCATTTC